AATCTTTGGCGTTTGACTGTAGTTTCCGGGACAATACAACACACACCTGGAATTTTTCAATGTACCATTAATTCTTGGCGTTATAGGATTCAGTATCCATTCATAATAACGAAGCACATTTTCAGAAACTTCTGTAAACAGTCTGTAAAAAATTAAAGCGACATTCTGTTGGACTTCAATAAATAAGTGAGGTTCTAAAATACGACGTTATTTGTCTCATTTGAATCACTAATATATCCCTTTCTCCCTTACAAAATATTTGCAATCAAGTATTTAGAGGTTTGATTTTATAAGTCTGGCCTATATATGTATACATATTAAATTAAACTTTCTGTACTGATTATATAATAATATGTTTTCAAACTTTACGAATTTTAATTCTGTTTTACCGAAATATTTTAGGGGCATATTTTTAGGGTCTCCGAAACATGACTATGGACACCGTAAGCATGCATAATGAAGGCAATATTTTCTGTGGAACACAGCAACCTAAATACATATTATTAAGTTATAATAATTTAGCGCTTAATTTAACTGCAATAGATTTAATCGTAACTTGCTTATGTCAGAGTGATAAAGAATAATTAGAACTGTTAATTAAGATTAGATTAGCAAGAGATCCAAAATCAACACTGATGTATTTTATGTATTCTGAAATATACGAAATTGAAAACAATATTATTCGTGGAATAAAATTATAAATTTTTAAAATACCTTAATTATTGTGTCTAAAGACAAAAAATGCTAAATTAAATTGAATAACGTTTCATACAACCATAGTTTTGGAATTACTTTGTAAATTTTAAGGTCTTTAAGATGTTTTTAAGATACAGTAACAATGCTTTGATATGTCAAATGATTCAAAATTCAGATACCTGATACTGCAGTATATAAACAGCGTAAATTGGAGACTATTACTGTTTTGTCCATATTTGCCACAATATAACTAATGTGTTTAAACAATACGCAGATATATTTTTGTAAGATTGAAACCAGTTTCTCATTTATGATCTGAAGTTTTCGCGGCGATTAAGTATAATAAATTATTCTCGTGCTACTAGCCGTGTCGGGTGGTATAATGGAGAAAACACTATTTCTCAATTAAACCACCTGGCATTTCTGGTAGCCCGAGAAAAATTCAATGTACAATTTCCCATCATTATCATAACTGACGTACAACTGTTATAAATAAATTTACATTTGACCCAAAAGTCTGTAAGTATAATGTATTAACAGATAATATTAAATAAGAATAAAGCATATTTACCATAGAATATACAATTTTACGTTCCATGTAAATATCTGGTGTTAATTTCTTCTGTAGTGCAGACCCTCAGATTTAAGAAGGAAAGTTTACATTTTAACATATTCTTTTCGTATAAATATGCATGAGTTACATTGTAGGTTAAAATCTGGATATCTGTAACGTCAGTATCATTGGTGGCCAATAGACTTTAATGTTGTTGTAGGGTTATCAATTTCAATTTCAATCCATATACGTTCATATTATCAACGTTTTGATTTCAAGTTCTGATTTTTTAATTGTCGAAAAAAGGAAGGAGAAAATGGTGTAAAAATGTGAAGTTATCATAACTCATCTTTATTGAGTTCATTTTACTAAAAGATCTTAGAATAAATATTTACCTTCTAAACAGATCCATCCTTGGGTACCATCTACAAAAGGTACACATCTGACTACGCATACAAACATCTACATCAGCCAGCAGTATGTAATGTACATTCATATCTTTGGTTTAATATTCAGTTTGCGCAATTGATTTTACTTGGAACTTTAGATTTTTAGAACCTATATTAGACTCGAATCTTTCACGGCGACTAAAAGTGATAGAATATTCAGCCACGTAAATTCGTCTCTGTCTGCTCCGTCATGGAATAGTCGAGGATCTGTAATGTACCCTGGTGAGACAGAGATAGGTCCCGGACGCTAGACTCCTGATACGGACTAACACTGCGCATGCTCAAAACGAATGTCATCACTTTAAATCTGTTGCTTAAATTATCAGTCTCTTTGGCCATTCAAATGTAATTAAAATGCGCACTAGCTACAGGAAGATTAATTTCATACCAGATCATTTTCTGGTACACACTACATGCTACAGACCACTGTTTTCCTCAGTCTCAATACTGGTAGGCTATCAACGTAATAAATTGTTCCATTTTAATGTGAGATGGAAAAACATTGTTACTTTAAAAATTCTTGCACGACAGAGATCTCTACTCTCCAAGAAGGCGACGTGATAGGCATCGAACTATAATCTACAGAATTCCGCTGATGAAACAGCAAGGTCCGAGAACTGTGTAACCATTTTACGATGTAACAAATGTTTCATCTCTCTATTTGTACTTCTTACAAATCAGAATATCCATCGGGCCATTCCTTTACTTGGGAAGACGAAACACATTAAAATGTGTTCGTCATATCTGAAAATCATACTTGTGACTGGGACATCAGAACACACCTCAGCACTGGGGGAGTTCAGTTCCTGGTTTCTGCAGCCGCAGGGGGCGACAGTTGCTTGGAGACTAGGTGGTACGGACTGTATCGCTGTTGCAGCCCGCTCATCCCTGGGAAGATCGGCCTCGGTAGCCGGAGCTCCGCGGGTGACGACGACGAGGATGGAGACGGTGACCCAGAGGAACTAGAAGAAGAGGTCGCTGTCGGCGGCGGTGTCAACTGAGGGTGCGAGTGAGCGTTGGGAGGGGGAGGGGGAGGCGGTCCGAGAAGTCCCGGTGGCAAACTGGCGTGCATCGATGCTGGCGAAGACCACGGCGATGACGTCTGTCCTCCACCGCCGCTTGTCCACAGGTGAGCAGGAAGAGGCATGGGGAGTTGGCCCTATATTAGACTCGAATCTTTCACGGCGACTAAAAGTGATAGAATATTCAGCCACGTAAATTCGTCTCTGTCTGCTCCGTCATGGAATAGTCGAGGATCTGTAATGTACCCTGGTGAGACAGAGATAGGTCCCGGACGCTAGACTCCTGATACGGACTAACACTGCGCATGCTCAAAACGAATGTCATCACTTTAAATCTGTTGCTTAAATTATCAGTCTCTTTGGCCATTCAAATGTAATTAAAATGCGCACTAGCTACAGGAAGATTAATTTCATACCAGATCATTTTCTGGTACACACTACATGCTACAGACCACTGTTTTCCTCAGTCTCAATACTGGTAGGCTATCAACGTAATAAATTGTTCCATTTTAATGTGAGATGGAAAAACATTGTTACTTTAAAAATTCTTGCACGACAGAGATCTCTACTCTCCAAGAAGGCGACGTGATAGGCATCGAACTATAATCTACAGAATTCCGCTGATGAAACAGCAAGGTCCGAGAACTGTGTAACCATTTTACGATGTAACAAATGTTTCATCTCTCTATTTGTACTTCTTACAAATCAGAATATCCATCGGGCCATTCCTTTACTTGGGAAGACGAAACACATTAAAATGTGTTCGTCATATCTGAAAATCATACTTGTGACTGGGACATCAGAACACACCTCAGCACTGGGGGAGTTCAGTTCCTGGTTTCTGCAGCCGCAGGGGGCGACAGTTGCTTGGAGACTAGGTGGTACGGACTGTATCGCTGTTGCAGCCCGCTCATCCCTGGGAAGATCGGCCTCGGTAGCCGGAGCTCCGCGGGTGACGACGACGAGGATGGAGACGGTGACCCAGAGGAACTAGAAGAAGAGGTCGCTGTCGGCGGCGGTGTCAACTGAGGGTGCGAGTGAGCGTTGGGAGGGGGAGGGGGAGGCGGTCCGAGAAGTCCCGGTGGCAAACTGGCGTGCATCGATGCTGGCGAAGACCACGGCGATGACGTCTGTCCTCCACCGCCGCTTGTCCACAGGTGAGCAGGAAGAGGCATGGGGAGTTGGCACGGGGGTGGCCCACCGCGACTAGGACTACTCAAAGCATACATCTGCGGTGGCCCCACGGGTGGACCAGCGCCGTTCATCAGAAGGGTGTGCAGTTCGGCGGGCGAGTAGGACGGTCCTCCCGTTCGACCCCACATCTGTAGGTGGGCTCGTGCCTTCTCCATCATGGCGGCGGAGAAGAGGCTGTTGTTGTTCTCCGCGTCCAACTCGGAGTAGAGTCGCAGCGGAGACCGCAGGAAGTGTTGCTCCATAAACATGGCGTCCATCGGGTCCCTGCGCAAATACGAGCATGCTGATGTGAGTGTGGCTAAGCAATTATGCTCCTGAGGTTTTAAACCTGCAGTACCTGACGGCTTCTTTATCACTGAAACCTACCAGGGCTTTTGTGTGAGACTTCGTAATAACGGTTTGACTTCTACTGCTCTCCTTACTTGCATTAGTATGACCTTTAATCTACTTTTGCAGTGTAGCCTACAATTAAATACAGGTTTGTGCTGTCATCACATTTGTGTGTCTGTGCGCATGACAGATCTAATGACGTTTGAAGTACGGAATATCTGACATTTTTACGACACCTCGAGGGACAGTCGCACTTTTATAATATTTACTTTACTGCTGTATCAATGCCTCGAGGGACAGTAGCACTTTTATAATATTTACTTTACTGCTATCAATAAAAAAAACTTGATGGGAGAATAATATTAAAATCGATCTGAAAGAAATGGGATAGTAGGGCGTGGACTATATTTATCAATCCCAGGATGGGATAAGTGATGGGTTCTTGTCAACACTATCATAAACCATCGGGTTCAATAATAGTGGGGTAATTTTGACATGCTGGGAAATTATTTGCTTGTCTAGAAGGATTCTGCACGATGGGCTTATTTGTTGATTATAACTATTGATACACTGGATCTAGGCATGTGAAATTTTGAGTTTAGAAATAGATCTAGACCATCGATATGCCTACAATTTACGCACGAAACACTTTCATAATTTTAGGCTACGGTAATAATTCGTGATCTAAGAGATATTTGGAGTTGTATCTGACAAATTTAGCCTAGTAGACATTTGTATTAAGAGGAACTACGAACAGAAATAAATCAATAAACTCTACACGTATTAATTCGTGGACCCTGCTAGAGACATTTTACCTAAATAATTTCATTACGTCTAGAAGCCTTGGACTTCCATAAGTTTATATAAAGTTTTAACAAAATCTCTCCTTATCTTTATAAAAATAATTACTATTAACCTCTTCGGAGAAATCTTGCAGTCAAGTGGGATGAAATTTTAACTAAAGACACAAACACGTGAATAAATTATCACTGTGTAGGGCTTTTACAATCAGTTTACGTTCCATAAACCTATATGAAGATTTAGGGAGAAATGGTAGCAAAGAACTACATTAATAATTTCGGAAGTAGATTGAAGGTCAGTTGTTAGCTTCATTTTCCAATCCCTTGAATTCCGGTACCCATTAGAAAGAAGTCGGGTAGGTCCAGAGGAAATACAGTTAAAGAGGCAAATAAAACATTCGGGCCTTTCCGAAGTTTTATACTTCTCAAATATTCTCTAATTTTACATGATGGGCGACCCCAAAAGTTCCAGTTTTAATAAATCTTAGATTTGGAGTATGTTAAATAGTTATTTATGTAAATATTTTGTGTATTTCAATATATAAATAAAGTGAACATGTGTTTCTAAGAAATTTATATTTGCGTGTGCTTATGGAAATATAGTGGAACGAAAATATATCTTGAGCGTAAGTGTAAAATTAGTTAAACCTGGCCTTTGGAACAGATTAGCTTCAGTAGACACCGACTGAGTATAACTTGCATGGTGAAGATGTAATATGTAGCTGGGTTAATATCTTAATGTAATAATTATTGTTTCTTATTTTCACAATAGTTCTACCCAAAATATTTTACTCACATGACGTTAATGTTTTTGATTATAAAATTTATTTAAATCCGTAAGTTTATAAAATTTACGAGGCTGAATCTTTTAATTAAATTATTATTGTGCTAATTTTGGACCTTTTTCACCCCAAAAAATTTATAACATTCGTGTTTGCTGGAACATAAAATGCATTTATTATGGCAGGTCCCTGAAATATTCCAGGGTAAATGTTTCAATGAAAAGAAAGGATGAGTTAAAACAGTTCTGTAGGTTCGTGTTATGAATGTTAGTATTTATTTCATTTGCATACGATTCCCCAGAAAGAAACAGAATCCCTACAACCCTTTCTGTATGAGCAGCACGCATCTAGTTCAACACTCCGCCACCGTACGTATAATCCTTCAATCAAAGAAATCCAAATCTCTTGTTTTTATATACAACGCTACAAGCTGGACCATGAGAATACAAGAGAAGCAAAGGATGGAAACAGGGATACATGGAAGAAGGTAGAAGCTGCTACTGGAGAAAGAGCATTACAGTCGTCCACACTGGAAGGGCGAGGGCTTTGTTCAACAGGCAGTGCCTTGCATAACAAACGACTACCACCACAAAATCCCCCTCACGATTCGTCTGCTCAGAGAGGCTGAAATTCGCGACACACATTAAGCTTTCCGGGAGGAAAGTACACTCACGCTTCAGACTGGGTCTTCAGAAAGATGTACTCTGTGGAGTAAGCATCTCTCCCTGAACCTACGTGTTCATTTACCGGAGACACAGAACCAGAATGACGATTCAATAAAATTATGCGACAATTGTTTATCTGGTACACGAAAGTTAAAGTATGTTTGTGTGTGGGGGTGGGCAGTAAAAGTTTACATGTCTCTAAGCCATTCTACTTATGAAGCCAATCACAACTACCAAATATGTCGCATGCTATACACTCAAATTCAGCACCGGAATTTTGGTAGATGCGAAAAGTAAAGAGAAGAAGTGTATATAAACTGTAAGATTTTAATTCATCGCCCTGATGACGGAGGCAGTCCGACCTCCGAAACGTTGGTAAACATACTACCATACTACACGGCGTAACAACCCAGAAGACAGAAATCTTCAGACTCACCGCCCTGATGATGGAGGCAGGATGACCTCTGAAACGTTGGTAAACATCGGCCAGACTACACAGCGCAACAACCCAGAAGACAGGAATCTTCATACTCATCGCCCTGATGATGGAGGCAGGATGACCTCTGAAACGTTGGTAAACATCGGCCAGACTACACAGCGCAACAACCCAGAAGACAGGAATCTTCATACTCATCGCCCTGATGATGGAGGCAGGATGACCTCTGAAACGTTGGTAAACATCGGCCAGACTACACAGCGCAACAACCCAGAAGACAGGAATCTTCATACTCATCGCCCTGATGATGGAGGCAGGATGACCTCTGAAACGTTGGTAAACATCGGCCAGACTACACAGCGCAACAACCCAGAAGACAGGAATCTTCATACTCATCGCCCTGATGATGGAGGCAGGATGACCTCTGAAACGTTGGTAAACATCGGCCAGACTACACAGCGCAACAACCCAGAAGACAGAAATCTTCGTCTATACAAAATGTTCATACATGCAGTGTTAAATAATAATTATGCGTTACAGAAGTGAAAGTATTTTCCCTAAAGTGAAATTTCATATACACATTTATTTTTATAACTAAATATGCGACGGTTAGAGAAAAGAAGACCGAAGGCATGAAAATCATAAGGAATTTTCGTGTTGCTGGCTGTCAGAATGCGGCGGTCTGACACCTCTCTGCCGCCCTGTAATCTCGCCCGATTGTGTTTTCATGATGATACGATGATGATGATATAATGAGCGAACCCGATACTTCCCTTACCGCAGTCAAAACACAGGCGATGCCTCCGAGTATTACTGCTTATTTCAGTCAACAATCTGCCGGAGCTTTTTTCAAACCGATCTGTCCATGCTCAGTGTAAAGTATTACCAATTCAAAATATATTAACTTCTTATTATTCTTACACACAGCCTGCAGAGATGGGCCTTCATCTCTTTCGTTCTATTTTTTTCTTTTATAATCTAAAGTACAAGACTGTAGGTCTATGTATGTACACGTATCCATTGAGTGTTTTTCTTACTTTTTTTGAAAATTATTTTCACATTTTCATATTTTATTGATTTATATAACGAATTGTTATCGACTGAAAATGTTAGGCTTAACAATCTTGAAAGATTAGGCAACAGTTTGCCCAAAGAAATAATGCAAAATCCTATAGCCAAGGCAGCTAAACCTTAAATCATTTAATAGCAAATATAACAAAAGTGTGAAGAGAACAAACCACTTTCAGGATTCTAAAAATCTGGTATATTTTTGTACACTAATTGACACTAAATATTTGCAAGATAGAACTGTAAACATAAACCCAAATTGCCATCACCTTAAACATTCTGTGTAATCTTATAGACCTATTAACTTTTAATTAGTATATAGAAAATGTAAACTTCTGTTAATAGAGTTTTAACCTTTAATATGCAGTGGAATTAATATAAACAACCTAAAACATATAATACTATCAATCGCGTAAAACTTATAATTTTATTATTATAAGTTGATACTCTCCCATCGGGCGCCTCCCCAGGTGGCAGATAGGGAAAGGCTCACCAGATAAGGTGAGTACCGAGGAAATAATATACCAGGGGCAGGCCAAAAGTAGCGACTACTGCCTTGCAGTGAGATATTGGATTATCAAAGGCTAAAGGAAGGAAACCTTGAAAAAAAAAATTACCCGGTCCTCCAGGTTGGAGGTTGATGCAATGGGGGAAAAAACAATGTTAAAAAACCCAGGGGATTAAATGTAACCTTGGGTACCGGAAAATGTATAAACATTGTTAAACCGGAAATATATATATATTCTTACGTTGTCTGCGCGGTCTGAGGCGTGGGCCTTGTGCCACTTGGTCGCTGGGACCGTGGGTTCGAATCCGACTTAAGCCTCGGATGTTTGTCAGCGTGTTTCTGTGTCGTGCTGTCCTGTGTACAGGTAGAGGCCTTGAGAAGGGCCGATCCCTCATCCAAGGAGTCCTACCGAATGTCTTTAGATCAAAGACAACGAAAAGTTGGGACCCGCAGTGCTCAGGCACTTGAAGAACGGGTCGTTCCCAGTATCCCCCAGTACGTTGTACAGCATCAAATTACGTTATTTATGCATCAATAATTGGTAGAACTTGGAAGAAAGAGATCTTGATATATTTAAGGACGTCTTACTGTCTCTGCATTTGAATGGAAGATGGCAGATAATCGGCAAAGATTGGAACCCGAAGTTTATTGAATATGAAGTGGGAGTTTAAGCCG